GATGGAACCCGTGATTGGTTAGATATTTAGCTGGTGTTAATTGGTATAATCCCACAGATTTGAATAGAGCTGTGCTAATTTAAACCATCTGAGGCACAGCCCCAAGTGTCTAGTACATATCTACTACATTATGAATTTGGCTGTTAATCCCTTAGCCCCTTTCAGGGCAGTCCAAGTTTTTATATTTTATACCAGTCTACCCAATAAAAATAATTTTCCAGGTAAAGTTCTTACTTTTTCAATGTATTGAAGAAGTGAAAATGGATCTCTTTTTTCATAGATTGTATTTTTTCTTCTGCAGTGCAATTTTGTGACAGTCTATAATGGGAAAGCCTGTAATGGGAACGTTTTGCATTTTGTTGCATTATGTTTCCATTAATTTTTAAGTGTTCCTAAAGTACCATATTAATTCCCTGTTATCCAAAAAAGGAAAAAGAAAGGGAACAAAAACGAGAGCGTAGTGCTGTTTAATTTCACAAACTGCCCTTTTGTCTTACCAGTTTAGCCTTGCCCTTTAGGAGACCACTGGTGTATAAAACTGCTATCAAAACTGTCAGAAAAGGGAAGATCAACAGAATTGTAACAGCCCTGTGGGTTTCATCTGAACACTAACCGACTCTGCTGGATATTGCTAAGTAATTTATGAAAAAGGTTTAGATGTATTTATAGTTTACCATATAAATGAACTGATGAGTAACTTGTCAACCTAGTGAATGGGGCAGTAATTCACAGATCCCATCAGAATTGGGCATTTAATATTTTACCCACAACAATCTTACTTCTTAAAGTTGTACACTATATACAATATGTAGGCATTGGCATACTTTTATTAATGAATAAGTCAAATTAGTATGCATTGCAGTTTAGTGAATATTTTCGTTTTGTTTCTCTAATCAAAATGTTCATTTAACATTTTTTTACTCCATTAGTCTCATTGTCTTGCATTGCATCACTTGTACCAGCTGGCTTCTTGTCATTTTATAGTTTGGACCTTTACATCAAACAGCAAAAAATTAATTACAGGAAAAGAAATCCCAATAGTACTTCTGAGTTTAGAGGTTTTCACAATTACCCAGACATGAATGCTGCTGTCTGAAGAGGAAATGAAAAGTTGTGAGGAGGAAGAACTTGGCACGTACTTTACTGGTGCCATTAATTAACTCCAGCAGTGTTAGTCACCTGTTTTCTTCTCTGTTGTGCTCCCTCCCTTCCCCCATGTATTTCAAAAGTCTTCAGTTTCCTATGTTTTTTACATTTATCAGCTCAGTGAACACCACAAAGATAAATCAAGCAAGAGATTCTGTGAAATGTGAATTCTCACTTAAGAGGAAAAGACTTGAGACTTTGTTTCAAGTGACAAAGTGCTCTTGATGGATTCATGAAGTGGGTATTTCTATCCCAAACATGAGCTACATTTTGTTAGAACATGCTCCAAAAGCCTATGGTGGTCTATTCTCTCTGAAATTGGAAACGTCTTTCTTATGGAGCATGTCTACATCAGATGCTTAATGCTCAGTAGACTTATTCTACTGTGCATTAGTGCATCATGGCAAAAGCCATGTTAATGCACTAATGGACAGTAGAATTAGTCTACCATGCATTAAGCATCATGGAAAGATTGTGCACCAGTGCTGCTGCTGAGTAGCACCAACTACTGCACATTTAGTTAGTACCTCTTATTACAGGTACTAAACTAAATGCGCTGTAGCAACAGCGCATTAATGCATGTGTAGACTTGCCCATGGAGAGCAACATTTGCTCTTTTTATTAATCTACTCTTTTACCCTTTATATATGAGAGAGCTTGCCTGCTGAAGAGTAAAAGCTGCCTAAAAAGTTGTCATCTAAAAGGTACCATAAAAAACAAACTGCTTTGAAGCAAGCTTTTTAGCCTACCAAAATTTGTGACTTTAAATACATTCCTGCCCTCGGCAAGTAATCTAACCTTTTATTAAATTGTTATACAGTGTTAAATTCTATTTTTCTATGTAAGCCTTTCTATATATCTATCATATTATGTCTGCTTCAGATAGGACTTGCTCCTGTTCTTCTATATCTTATTCAAAAAAAGAAATTCTGCATATAGAGAACTGTTTGTCCTTTCTTCTGCTTTAAGGTGGCATACTTCATTGGTACGGCATTCTTTTAACTATTCAATATTTTCCACAATTCAAAATAAAAATTCCAGTGTTAACTGTGTTATGCTACAATGAACAGTTTGATTTCCTTGTCTCTCTTCAGAACATATGTAATATCTCTCACTTTAAAGCTCATTTTTTGCCATTTTTCACTGTGCTATCTCATGTGCTTCAAAATTTAGTATACCGCCTTCGGTTATGGTCTTCACATTGTGAAGACTATTCTGAAGAGAATATCTTAAATTAATGCAAAATAAATATATTAAAAGTAGTTAGATGCATGGTTTTTTTGATAGCACTACCTCAGTATCTTAAATTTCTTCACCGTATTGTTAACACAGTTTTAAAGCATGGTCCACTGTTATGCCAAGGTCATTTTCAGAGTCCTGCTGTGATTCTGATCCAATTATTTCATAGTTCTGCTTATGTTTTTGAGCTGAATGTGAAATTTAGTTGTTGTGCTTTGAAACATGAAATTTAATTTGCCACTTGTCCGTTCATTTGCAAAGCAGCATTGCAAAAAATTTCATATATATATGGAAAAAATAAAAATAATTTAGCCTGTCTCTTCTACTGTTTGTTTTGTTTACTTCTTTAACTTGGCTAATATTCCCTATTTTTGAACTGTGGAAGCTCATAAAGGCTGTTGTGAAAACCCAAATTCATACCAGTTGCTTGTCCATCTGGAAGGGAGCAGGTGTTAGCTGCACACATGGGATATCTATCCACAAAATAGTATGGTTCTTTCAGTCCCCAGTAGCTGTATAATCCTCTTCAAAAGACACACCGCGTATAACGGAACATGAGTAGCTGTTTGGAGGTTTCTCTGTAATTCTTTAAGTTACTTTTACTTCATACTCAAAATAAGATGACAAGCATAGGGAGTTTGTGCATCACATGAATGTTGTTCTCAAAACTGCTCTCAGAACAATCCTGGTACACTGACAGTGTCACAGTGCTTATTAGAGATGTACGAAGCTTTGGTAGCCGATTCGATCTGGAGAAGATTTGGCCTGATTCAGTGGCCAGATCTCCAGATCCAGATTGATTCAGGAGACCGATTAAAAGCTCCAAATTGAATCAGAAGCCTCCAAATCGATTCAGAAAAAATTCAGCACCAATTCGGAGATTTGGCCATAGACAGGCAGCAGTCCTTGGGGATGCTGGATACAGCTACCTCCAGCTGGTAAGTCTGTAGTGGTGAGTGGAGGGAAGAGGGAAGGAGTATGGGGAGTGGGGCAGATCAACGCCCCCACAGTGACAGAGGGATTGGGGCTGGGACAAGCTGCCCAGCCGGGGTGGAGGGGCATGGGACTTGGGGAGGGGGAGCTCCTGCCCCTACACCTTGCAGTGCGCCGCCAGTCCGGGAGGGCATGGGAGCAGGCATGTGCCCCCAGATCTGCATGGGACAGGCTGCACTGTGGGAAGCTAGCCCCAGCTGCCTGCCTCTGGGCTGCACTCTGTAGCGGGTGCAGCCAAGGCTGCACTGTGGACAGTTAGTCCCTGCTGTAGCCCAGAGCACAGCCCTGGCTCTGCCCACCCAGCAGAGCACAGTGGAGCAGGGGCTAATGGGGGGCTGCAGCCACCCTAAAATTCCCAATAGCCCCTGCTGCCAGCCCCACTCCAATCCAGGTGCACACGTTTGCTCCCATGCCCTGCCACTCCTCACCTACTCAGGGTGAAGCCACGATTTGTCAAGGAGGTGCAGGGTGGCTGGGCAAATGGTGGGAGGGCATAGCTCCCACTCCCAGCGCCTTCTGCCACCCATCAGAGCACAACCCAGCCCAGCCTGTGCATATCCGGGGACAGATGCTCGCACATGGCAACGCACAGTGGCAGATGAAGGGATGCCCCCCACCCCGCCTGGGCAGCTTGTCCCAGCCCAAGCCCTCCCTCGCTGTGGGGGTATTGACCTGCCCCCCCACACTCCTTCCCTCCACCCACCACAACAGACTTACCAGCTGGAGGCAGCTGTGTCTGCATCCTCGAGGACTGCTGCCTGTTTAGTCTGCAGCCAAATCTCTGAATCAGTGACGAATCTTCAGATCCGAATTGGCTGAATTGAACTGGGACAGTGATTTGAATCACTGAATCGAATCACTGTCCATCTGAATTGTCTGAATCCAAATCTGAATTGAATACTTGCCACTTTGTACGGGTCTAGTGCTTATGAGCATGTTTTGTCTGTGATAATAAATCTTTAAGCACGATTGTGACAACATAAAGTTGGGAGAGGGAAGCAGCCTAACCATTAATACTGGATGTGGAGATACGACACATTTACTTTTACTGGAAGTGGAACAGATATATAATGCATAGCATTGCTACAGTCTTGACTTTTCCAGGCTAATATTCCCCTGAGGAAACAATAATGGCTTTAATTACTACCAGAGTAAGGACTGTGTATCAACTACTATTCAACGTCATCTCAGTATACTCCTTTGCTTAATGTATGCTGGATCTCCTACCAGCTAGTGGTAAAGCTCTGTAATGTTGCAGGCATCCAGTTTTTAGGGAGAGCTGGTTATGTTTTTGCTTCTTATTGAGTAGATTTACTACAAACTAAAACCAGTAACAATGCCATGTGTCTATATCCACAGGCAATCTATAACCAATATAAAAGGCTTATGGAACTTTTGTGATCTAGTATTCTCATTGTCATACTACAATACTAGTAACACATTAGGAAGGCCTAAAAAGCTTTTTAATGTTTCAAGGCACCTTTTTGTATGGAAAATCACTTTAGAGTGCATTATGGAGAAGGGAAATTGTTAAAGTATGTTAAAATACATAGTATTTTTTTCAGGTGTCATTTAAACGTGTGTATATTTCATGTTTCCTTAATGAATATTTTTAAATACAGGCAATGAATTTGGGCATCCAGAATGGTTAGACTTCCCCAGAAAAGGAAATAACGAGAGCTACCATTATGCCAGAAGACAGTTTCATTTAGCTGATGATCATCATCTTCGCTATAGATTTCTAAATGCTTTTGACAGAGATATGAATAAATTGGAAGAAAGATTCGGCTGGCTTGCATCTCCCCCGGTAAGCCATATATATTGAACGTTATGGTTTAGTCACCAGTAGTGTACATGCTCAGAATTCTAATAATGTAAAATCTACATGCACAAATTTTAAACAGCACTTTATTATGCACCGTGCAGTTCCCTGTTACATATTTCAAGTTGTCAAAACATGTCACTGAAGTCTCTTCTGGAGATAATGAAAATCTGAACAGTGTCCTATTAACTCCATCAGTGTGGTGTTGATTTGATTTATTTATTTATTTATTTTTGCTTCTTTTGCTTCTTCATTTAGGACCTCACTTTAGATTGGTTGAAAAAGAAAATAAAAATCTGCCTCAAATCCACTCCAAAGGTTGTTTTGGGAAAGTCTACATTGTTTTGATAATTTGTTTTCTGTCAAAAGCATAATTATTTACATAGAATACTTTTGGTGTATGTACAGATGTTTAAGGAGTTTAGATCATGTTAAAAATGACCACCCAATATAACTTGGTTTGCCCACGTGTAGACCTTACACTTAGATTCGTAGTTAGGTCAATCTAAGTGGAACTTCTGTACAGTTCACAGGAAAGTTAGATCAGTCCAAAAAATGGCTGACCTGATCTAATTTAACTGTACCTTGGAGGTACACTAATTTAGATCAGGCATGGATAGGTCGCTCTAACTGAACTTCTGTATATTTTTAGAGTGCAGCCCCAGGGCTGGGAAAGCCCTATTGCTGGCCCTAAACTGAGGGCTGCACTTTTCCTACCCCTCCCTGGGTACTGGGTGATTTGTAGCCCCTGGCCTCTCCCCCCATCCCCAAATGGATATCCTCCCTCCTCCCACCCTGTGGACCAACCAGTAAGTTGGAGGGGGGGGTTGTTGGGGGGGCATTATTCATCTGGGGTTGAAGGGGACTTGAGGGGCTAAGTATTAGTCCCTGGTTGGGGAGGGGGAAGGGTTTTCCTGATCCTACCAGAGCAGCCAGCCCCCCTAATTCTGTCAAACCCCCTACCCTGAAAGCCACCAGGACCTAGATCTTCCTGCCCCTCCCCCAACTCCAGGTTCCTTCAATCAGGCTTCCATGACCAGTGAACGCCAGTAAAACCAGCCCCAGAAGCAGTTTGTGGTATTGGGGTGGGGGAGGGGTGCTGAAGGAGAGTCCAATGAGGTTTCTGATCCCATCACCCCCCACCACCCCCCCAGGGACCCCTCTAACCCCACCCTGATATATCCTCCTATCCCACCCTTCCCCCAACTTACCTTACATTAGGCCCCCAGCACATATCTAATTACTAAGTTAGATCATGGATGGGGGGGGGGGGGG